ACAAGAGTTCAAGTATATTAACCTACAAAATAATTATTAAAATATTAATTTATATATATTTTTTCAATTAAAAATTTCTTTATATATACCATTAAATTAAAAAAACTACATCTAAAATTAACATAATATAACTTAAAGTAGATACAACGACAAAATAAGATCAATTATTAAATTGGTAAAAAGTTAGGTTAAAATACCAAATTTAGTCCCTAATATTTTAAATTTATATCAAAATTATCCTAAACTTTAAAAATACGAAAACTGTCCCTAAACTTTAATATTTAATACCAAAATAGTACTTATCTCAATGTATTACTTGATATTCATTATTTTGCCACAAAATCAATTTCTTTTTCAAAAATTAATAAAATCAAATTAAATAATTATATTTTACTATCATGATATATTTTTCTAATTGTATTTATAAAGTTGAATAAATAAATTAGTACTTATAATCAAAGTTTTAAGGTCTAAGTCTTCAAATGTTAAGGACTAAATTGATACTAAACAAAAGTTCAGGGATTATTTCAGTTCCAAAAATTAAAGTTTAAGGACATTTTTAGTACCTTTTAAAGTTTTGGAATAAGTTTGACCTAAATTAGAAAGTTGAGGACTAACATGGTTATTTAACCAAAAAATTTAGGTCCTTTAACTTTAAAGTTTACATACTTTTCGTCCCTCAACTTTTTTAATTTTTTTTTAATCTTTAACTATGAAAAATACAATGTTTTATAGTTAATTAAAAGATAAGAAATGTAGAAAACGGTAAGACATGAAAATTTGCCCATATAAAACCTTCAAAACTCACAAAAATCATATATATTCACCCTAAAATATACTTAAAACAACAAATTTGAAAATACTAGCTAATATCAAATACTTAATATAAAAATTTTGTCATTAATGGTTGAAATTTCACTAAAAATTTATAAAAACACTATTCATCAAATTTATCTAAAAGAAAATCTAATAATATTAACTAATATCTAATGAACTAATTAATAACAATATTTAATGGTTTAAATTTTAGAAAAAAATAAAATACATAAAATATATAAAAAATAATAATATTACTTAAATTTTACTTACCGCTGCTTAATCCACTAGACTGCAAGAAGAAAAATGTGTTAAAGTGCTTCAAAGGGAAGAATGGAGGAAAGGGGAGCAAGAACAACTCGCGAGAGAAGAGGAAAATGAAAATGAAAGGAGAAAGACCAAAATAAAAGCAGAAGGGCGGTTCGGCAGGGCAATAGGGAAACTTACCGACGAAACCCACATTGCTACAGTCTAAAGCTGATCATCTCTGCGTTGCATCAGAATTCTCGTTGGCCGGGCCAATCACCGACGAACATGAAGTTGGCAATGTATAAATTACCAACCTAAACCTTGTTGGTGAGCCAAATAAAAGCTGCAACACCAGTGGCCAACAGTCGGATTCGCGGGGAGTTGGGGAATGGCAAATTACCGACAAGCATAATGTCGGAAAATTTCATCAAAAAGCTGCACTCCCTAACGTAGGCAGCCAACTGGTTGGCGGGGGTGCGTTGGGAGTGGAAATTACCGAGAAGATGAACGTTGGAAATTGATCCTCAATTACCGACGAGACTATTGTTCCAAAAATAAATTTACAGGTGTGCTTCTCGTCGGTGATGTGGCTTTCTGTCCTTCCCTCACCCGTCGGAGTGTTGGCTGCAATTACCAACAAGTAGCACGTATGTATGACCTTAAATTATGGACAAGTATTACGTTTGTACAGTAAATAATATATCTTACTGGTATTTCTACTGTTTCTCAAGTTGCAGACTTAATTCTTGTCGGTAAAATGATGCTTCACCAAGAAAACTTCTTACCTCGGTGATATGTGGTCGGCGAAATTAAGTTTTCTTGTAGTGTATTGATAATTATTCCTAACTCCCTATAAAAGGTAGGAATTGTTAAGTCTTAATATTATTAATTTTTATCAAATTTAAAAATAAATAAGAAATATACATTTCTTAATTTTTGTTAGTGTAAAAAAAAGATTAAACATCAAGATTTAATTATTCCTAACTCCCTATAAAAATTTCTCTGGTGTAGTTTGTTTTATAGTTTAAATAAAGTTTCTCTTGAAATTCATTCATCAAATTTTTTATTTTTTATTAATGATCTGTTGATACAAGTAAAATGAACTTGATTTATTTTAAATAAAATATTAAATTTGAATCTGATAAATGAAAATCAATACTAAAACAGTTTTTATTAATAAAATTTAATGTGATTCAATTTTAAATTAATCAAAATTTAATATAGTTATCATACCTGAAAAGATTAATAAAAACAACTATTCCGTTTCTTTAACCCTCCGGTACTGACAAATTTGGGAGGCAAATGCACATTCTCCTAAAGTCTTAGGTGAGGAGCACAAAAGTCTACTGGCACCTAACCTATCTGGTTGAAAAATGCTGTTGACCTGACAAATCATTTTTTTGGTTTAATGATTAGTACATATTAAATTTCATATATTTTTTAAATATTTATTTTAATATAATTATTAAAATATAATATAAATATAATTAATTTAATTAATTTTGATATTATGTATATATAATTATATTTTTAAATTTATATTTTTTAATTTTAAATAAAAAATAATAATTTTTATATAAAAATATTAAATTAAAATATATACTAATTATTATTTATATATATTATTAATTAATTTGATCTTATAAAAATTTAAACTTTCAATTTTAATTTTAAATCAAAATTTTTAAATTAATCATGCAAACATAGCCAAGGTCAAGGTCAAGGTCAAGGTCTTGCCACTATCTGTAAACGAGAAGATTCCGGAGGATAATAGTAAATATCCAGACTTCGATGTCTTCCATTTAATGGAACGTCAACTTTTCATTTCTTTATTAGGACAATTTTGTCCCTTTCTTTTCTAATATCAAACCCAGTTTTTGTGTGCGTTTTTATCTTTCATCGCCATCTCCTTTTGCAGATCCGCACACCATTGATATCGTGTTTTGATCCTTATCGATCCTAACAAGAACTGAAACGAACACCTAATAAGATTCAAAGGAAAACAAACCAGAAAAGGTTTAGTGCTGAAACCTAAAGTTCCCAACATAAGAGAGAAAATTTAAGAGGGAAACACAGATTAAAGGTTTTAAAGACGATGGCAGGAAAAAGAAGGAAGGATTTAAGGACACCCAGTCGGCAAAGAATACAAAGAGGCTGGAAGAGCCTCCAAACGAAGGATGAAAGAAGAGAGCAAAAAATGAGCTTAATTTTGGGGAAGAAAGGAGCAAAATTGTCCTAAAAAGACACTGATAATCCTCTAGTTTAATAATAATACATAATATATTTATTACAAATTAGTTATTTTTAATAAAAAATTAAAAATATAATATAAAAAATCAATTAAATCAATTTTATTTATATTATATATTACAATAATTAAATCAATCAAATATAAAAAGATGTACTAAATGGGAGCCAATATCAATAATTTTTCAAATAAAAATTTATACTAATTGGTCTTCGACTAAAAAATTGTCTCAATTTTTTTAACATAAAAAAAAAAACATTTTATTAATCTATTTAATAACAACTGCTCCAACCCATTTCCATGTTTCCGACAAGCCCTTGACCTTTCTCCACGTTACGGTTGTACCTGATTCATACAGCTGTAAAACAGAATCCCTGCTATATCTTAAAAGTTCTAGATTTTGCATCCTATCAACCAATCAAAATCAATCAACGATGTTACCAAATCCTTCTATAAATCATTGTTCCCTTACTGATTGTCGTTTCCGTATTTTTTAAGCTCAATAAATATTTTTTTTCTTGA